CAGAGCATGCCGTGAGGCAGTGTCGGAAGGCGGCAGGACGTGGTGACACTGCCCCGCAGCCCCTGCTCACCGTGGATGAACCGGAACATGATCATGACCTTGTCCAGCACCCGCTCCAGCTCCTCGTCCGTGGCCTCTTTGTTGCCTGCTCGGAGCTTGGAGTCGACGTGCTTCGCTGGGAGGCAAGACGCGTGTTACTCGGGAGCGCCACGACGCAGGAGCGCCCGACCTTCCCGTGATGGCGATCCCCCACAACAAGGGCAAACCTCTGACTCTCCAAGGGAGGCAGCCTCAAGTCGCGTGAGAATAAACACGCCCCCCCTCTTTCCGAGATTCTTCACGTAGGGCGTGTGAGCTCACCAGAGGCAGGCAGGAAGCGAGAAATCGCCCCCAGGGGGATGGCTATGCCACAGTACCTTCTCCCCCATTCTCCTGGGAGCTTGGGCACGTGCGCACATGCGCCCGGCCCGAGTTCTGAACCACTGGGTCCAGGGTTTAAAGCGCAATTGACTACGTGGGAGTCCAGCGATGGAGCTATGCCACCTGCTGGCCCTACTTCTCCAAATTTTAACAAAACCAAGGACTGACCCTATTTTTTTTTTTTTAAGTTTGCAATAGAGCATGCATGCTCAGCAGAGACCGAAGGACGGAGGTGGAGAAAGCACACCCGAGAGGGGAAGGCCACGCCACAGTCCCTTCTCCTCAGGATTTTGGGCACAGATGCACACACGCCCAGTGTGAGTTTTAAGCCACTGGGTCCGGGGCTTGAATCATGGTCGACTTTGTAGGAGTCCAGCGACATAACCATTATGCCACCTGCTGGTCCAGAGGGGTCTCCTTTTCTAAGATCTCGGGTCATCACCTCGGGAGATCTCCTCCAAGGGAAAGGCTCCTTCTCGGGGCTCTGAGGTGGCAATGCAAGGAGGGGGCATTTCTCCACGGCATCTCTTGCTTCCGAGACCACATAAGTGGACCGTGCAGTAGCTTGCGAGAACAGAAGTGACCCCAATGACCACAGGCCCAAGATCCCCGGAGTGCCACCTCCCAAGGGCCTCATGCCCACCTCCTTCAGAGAGAGCAGGCCTGAGAAGGGGCACAGACGCCACCATGTCCCCTCGGACACTCCTTTGGCCATCATTGCTTTCTTTCGACTTTGCCATGGCACGTTCTGAACACACAGGAGAGGAGGTGCCTGCGTGACAGCTCTGCTCCTTCCTGCGTTCCCCCAAGGACCACATGTGGCCAGTTTTGTGTCCCTGTGAAATTTCTCTGTCCCTCTCTTCCTGTAAATTTTTTAAAAATCGGAACCTTTGCTGGTGAAACTATGAATTCTGAAATATATTTTGATATTATCAAGAAATAATTGAACAAAGTGGTCATTTAGAAAGTTCCACCTTAACACATGCTATCACGAGACTGCTCCTAACTTCACCCCCTTTCAGTGCCAGCAGGGGACGGCTCCTCTTAGCAGATCATGGAATGTCCCCAGAGACTCACACTCACCCTCACCTGGGTGCACGCACTTTCCGGAGACAGGGAGGGACGTGAGGAGTGGCCCCCAAGGGGCATGGCCACGCCACAATCACTCCTCCCCCACCTCCCCTTTCAGGACTCTGAGCATGATGTGCAGCACAGTGTGTCTCCAAGCCACCAGGACCGGACTCAGACGGCGAGGAGGCCGTGAGGGCCCGCAGCCCTGACTGCTATGCCTGGGCTGGCCCTGCAGAGCTGTTCTCACACGGCGGCCTCCCCGTCCAGTTCCGGAGCCCGTAATGAAGATGGAGAATGAAGGCTGACCTTTATAAGACAGCTCCAGAGCGCCACCCCGGGGGGACGAGAGGCAGTGACCCGCAAGCCCCTTGCCCCTTCTGAGGCAGGCTTCCTTTTCTACCAAACTCTTGCTGCGTTCTGTTTTCCCTTACACGCCCACACGTGTGTGTGCACTGCAGCTGTGTACCTGCTTGTTCTGAAAACGTGTGACCTCGAAAGGCTGTCAGGTGCCCGTCCCCACCCGTGCGCTGGCCCCCAGGAGCCCGGACATGCTGGTGCTGTGAGCTCCGCCCTCCCGCCCGGCAGGTCCTGCAGACACGCCGTACCGATGAGCTCAGCCGGCTTGTTGGGCCTCCTGTTGATGAACGTCTCGAAGGACTCCTTCATCAGGTTCACGGCCCTCTCGTTCCTCTGGAAGCACACCTCGATCACGCGGTCCACTCTGTCCTTGAAGTCCAGGAGGTCTTGGACCATGTCTTTATCCTTCTCAGGGTTGATGACAATGGTTGTCCCGAAGGTCTACGAGGGCAGAGACGTGAAGTCAGCCACGGGCCGTGACTCCAGATGGCACTTCTGCCACTGCCTCGGGCAGGACAGACTGTGCGAGTGAGTACTGCCAGCGGTGGGTGCTCAGCTGCGAGTGAGTAATGCCGGGGGGGGGCCCCGCGGCGGGGGGGAGTTGCC